ATTTATATATCTGAACCACTCCCCGAAATGTGTATGCGTTTGTATTTATATCTGTGGATTTGTTTAGTTATCATTATTATTATTCATCCAGAGGTAAATTTACTGTTAATAATGATAATGATGTTAATAATGCAGCTCTCATATTGAAGGTAGGCCGGTTGCATTAAGGGCCGTCTCTAAGGGCCACCAACATCAAACCACATCCCTCTGTGTGTGTATGTGCATCATGGGTCCTTAGGCAAGGCCTCAAATGCTGCCAGTCTACCTCCGACATGAGTGAGAATATATATGTGTGTATATAACTGTGCGTGTCTGAATGTGTCTATTGCTCCACTGTTATCAATGAAGAGGCTTTAATGGCTTTCTGTTTGTCCGCTCCAGTACACAGGGGAGACTATCGGCCAGGCGGACAAGACAGATTTGGACCCAGGTCTGGAGGAGCTGCTGTTACTGGCAGACGCCACCAAGACCTGCACGGACAAGATAATCTCCCAGACTGAGGTTTTACTGCAGCCGAGCACCGGTGAGACACAAGTGTTTATTTATATCCAAGTCGGTCTTTGTGTGACTAAAAGAGACGCGGTGAAAATTCAACACTGAAAATTATTATTGCAGTTTCTTTTCTTTTGCATTTTATTCAAGTGTTTTATAAATGGCTACCATCACTGAAAAAATGTATTGTATAAACTTCTCTTATACTTCAAACTACTTCATACGATACTTTGTGGAGAAAGAAATAAACTTGTATTCATGCAGAAGTAATTAAATGTAATTCTTTGATTTCAATGAGGATTCATATCATCACATTAAAAACAAAATATAACCTAGTTATGTTGTTGGTGTACGAGAAAACTGCAAATATAGATAATTTACTGCCCAACTTCATTCTGAGGCTCTGTGGTTAAACTACTGAATCATGACCTTGAATATTTTCATCTGGGTCCACACTTCAGATTTATTTGCTCTCCCACAATCCATCTCTCTTGTGCCCTTCTGTTTGCCCTGACTGTTACTGTCCTGCTCAGATGAATAGGTCTGGTTTTGCTTTTGCCTGTTTGAATCCAATTACCTCGGCTAATGGAATTATGAGTGGACGTGACCTGTAATCTATCAAATAATGAGAGTGTTCAGCTGCCAGAAACAATAATCGTGCACGTTGTTTATCTATCGACTGAGGGCTCTTGGTTCTTCTGCAGAAAGCTTTTTGTTTGCTTTACATTCACCTATTATGCATGGACTATAGGAAGGACCGGCAATTTGCAGGCAGCTGTCTATTGTTCTGCTCTTCAGGTTCGGTCAGTTTGATATTAAATCAGTGAAACGTGAAAAGTGTCAACTTTTATATTTAGATCAGTATAGAAAGAAATGTACCATAAAACCTACTGTCTAAAGTATCGGCATCCAGAAATCACTGGACAGATCAAACAAGTGTGGACTCTTGAGAGACTCTTTTAGGTTTTCTTTCACCTTTTTTGAATTATTTTTAAGAACTCGAACAACACAGAAGTTTGTTGGATTTTAGAAATGAAAACCCTTAAACCCGAACTGACCCCTGACCCATGATGAACAGGAGCACGGCTAGAGGACCGGCTGTATGAGCATCTTGAGTGGAGCGCTCCACCTCGGCCTCGTGCCCTCGAGGTTCTGGGGAATGAGATGTCCCAGGCCGGGCTGGAGATTGGGTCCAACAATCCCTATGGTGAGTGCAAATTATTCTCAATGTTGTTATTATAAAAGGTTTTATTTTTACACACATCTACTAAGCGGTTAAAATGATGCAATATATTTTCCTAATCATGTGGTATTAGCTGGTTGTCTCTTTGTCAGAGTGTGTAATCTTTTAAACTGCAGTGTGCTGTGTATTTAGGAACGGCTCTGCTGAGGTGCGGAGAGGTTCAGAAGCAGCTCAGTGAAGCGGAGAGAAAGTTTGTCCAAAGCACCAACATCCACTTTCTCACCCCTCTGAGGAGTTTCACTGAGGGAGAACACAGAACCATACAAGTGAATCACACAGATGCACACACCCACAGTCTGTATAACCTACTCTATATCTCTGCTCCATGTTTGTTTCTGTTGTGTGTGTGTATGAAACAGGTTTTGTGTGTTTGTTGGTAGGATGAGCGCAGGATGTTGCTGAACAAGCGTCTGGACTTGGACATAGCTAAAAGTAGACTGAAGAAAGCCCACGAGGCCGATCAACAGTCCAGAGTGAGTGTCAGTGATTGATTTCAAACTGTAGCCTTCAAAGTACGTATCACTTTCCTTCAATAAGTTGATGACCTCCAGAATGCAAAACCCAAACCAAAACACTTTTCTTTTCTTTCTTTTCATCAGAACCTGAATGCAAACCCGCTGGACGATGACTACATGTCTCATGTCTCCTACATGTTCAGTTTCCTGCGTGTTAAATGGCTGAAGGTCAGTGGTTGGATAAAGGACACAGAGATAGACGTGCTGAACATGATGTTTGGTCACTGAGTACGTTTCCTGTTCTCCTCTGTCCCTGTCCTCTAAACAGGTTTGGGCACAGCAGATCACGCAGGTCAGTCACGTTCATCTTTGTTTGCACGATCCGACAGAAATAGTTATAAATATATATGTAGCTTGTGATTCGCTGGCGCCCGGAGCCAATCCTGCCCAATGTCAGCTGGGATTGGCTCCACGACCCTGGATGGAGAATTGAAAATTGTCCTGACAATTGCATTAACATTTTACTTTCTATTGTTTAGTTGATTGAGATTTTTTTACTGCTAATGGGAAATTTCCAAACACAAAGCT